AACGTGCTGGAATGAGAGTTAAAATCTTGACATAAACAACAGAATGATTCGTTTAGTTCAAAATTAGTTTTGCATGGCTTCAAAAATAGAGGTCGAAAGTGTCTTGACACTCGAGAGGGAACATAAAAATTTACCTCAGCCAGGAGGGCCGGGCTATTAATCAAGCCTGTCATTAATTTTACGATAAATATTATACCTAGCATTTCTCTACGACTTGCGAGTGTAGGCAAATTTATGAGCTTTGGATGACTTGTGTAAGGGGGAGATTGTAATCTGAATCCCAGTTAAAATTACGCAATGCAAAAAGCAACCATTGTTTTTGTATTGATTCAATCTTTTCTGAATGAACTTGGTATAGGGGACTCCAAACAATAGATCCGTATTCTAGTATAGGTCTAACTAAAGTGGTAAAAAGAGATTTTGTAACATAAGGATCTTTGAACTCTTTTGACCATCGCAAATGCAAAAACGCCTTTGGCTTTATTGACTGTAACATTAATATGATGGTTGAAATTGAGTTTGGAATCCATTGTGATACTAAGATCGACAAAATTGGATACCTGCTCCAGATTGTAATTTGATATTGAATAAACAGCTGGTTGAACAGTCCTCCGAGAGAAACACATAACTTTACCTTTCTGAAGGTTTAGTGGCATATAATTTGCATTACACCACCTAACAACGTTGCTCAGATCCGCTTGTAACAAAGACCTTTCTTCGATAGAGGACAGTGTTTAAAAAGTTTCACATCATCGGCATACATTAAAATTTTTGAATGTTTTATTATAGAAGAAATATCATTATTGAATATCAGAAACATAATCGGGCCAAGGTGGCTTCCCTGAGGAACTCCTGAAGAAACTTTAATGATGTTGGAAGAACAATTATTAACAATAACCCTTTGTGTTCTATCAGAGAGGTAAGATGAGATCCATTGAAGAAGACTGACTTTAATGATGTTGGAAGAACAATTATTAACAATAACCCTTTGTGTTCTATCAGAGAGGTAAGATGAGATCCATTGAAGAAGACTGGGTCGAAAGCCGATTAGGTCGAGTTTACGGATGAGTAACGAGTTACGTACTTTGTCAAAAGCTTTACTGAAATCGGTGTATATTACGCCGGTAAGAGCATTTTCTCTAAATCCGTTTGAGAGATGAGTTGCAAACTCCAATAAAATAGTGATAGTTGATTTTACTTTAGATAACCCGTGTTGAGATTGTGAAATTGAAGAAGATATAGAATATGTCAGCTGATTAACAATAATTGCTTCGAATAATTTGGGGATAACGGAGAGCTTCGCTATGCCTCGATAGTTTTCTAAAGAGGACCTGCTGCCGCTTTTGTGAAGTGGTATTATGAAAGACTCCTTTCAGGCTGACGGAAAAACGCCATGTTTTAGTGACAAATTGAATAGAGTTGTTAAAGGCTCGCAGATGTTCTCAGCGCAGTTTTTAAGAAAACAGGTCGGAGTATGATCAGGTCCAGGCCTAAATGACGCTTTAAAGGTTTTTAAATAGTGTGAAACTTCATCGGAAGATATTACTGGAATATAAGCAGACGTTGATTGGACAAAGCTCGTACGGATAGTCTCCACTTATAGGGAAGTCTACATAATAATTGGACCTAAAGAACTGGGCAAACATGTTGGCAATGAGTTGGCTGTCGCTAGACACAGTGTTGCGATAATGCATAGCGGACGGAAAACCGTGTACTTTACGCTTTGAATTTACGAAACCATAAAATGATTTAGGATTGTTAATTAAATTCTTCTTAATTTTACATAAATATAAATTATAACATTTCTTATTCATGCCGCAAAACTGAGTACTTTACGTAATCACTGTGTAAGCCCGTTCTTTTATACAGTTTAAAAGGATGTGACTTTTTGTTTTTCAATTTTTTAAGCTCTTTAGTCAACCATAATTGTGTTGGTTCTTCATGAACAATATTAAGTTTTGGCACATACTTTCGAAAAAAATTTAAAACAGTACCATTAAAGTGCTCAACGCTACGCTCCACGTCATCTCTATATTGGCCAAGATAACTTTGAAAGTTCTTTGTTAATTTTCCTGAAATTTGCTCTCGCAAAAACATAACTAGTACTTGAACTATACGACTTATTATTATGTATTTCATTTATGATTTCTTAGCTTAACTCAAGAGCGGGATGGTATGCATCCTCTGGCAAAACTAGGGGATCACACCGATTAATAGAGGCATTCGGAACATCATCAACGTAAACGAGATCCAAG